GGGGTACGGGAATATGTTTTCTTAGATCATAGTCTCTTAGAGTAGGATACATCCACTGCACTGAAATATGACTCGATTCTTACACCTTTTTGATAAGACCGATAACAACGTATGTTGTGACTGATTTCTTAATAAAGACTTCTACTACTAAATACAGGATTGAAAGGACCTAATTATGGATTAAACGAAGAGTCGCTAAAAATCAAAATAACAATCCTTCCTTGTGGATTTGAAACAGTTCCCTGAAGAAGGAGCAATATTTCTATAGACCTATGCATGTGCACTAGCAGTGAGCTATCGAACTGGTATTACGATTTGTTACTCGGCTATAAATAGGACAGTTAAGAGCCACTGCCTGTAAATATGGAGAATCCGAGGACAGGTCGGAAAATTCGGATTTTCTTTTATTGCGTCAGAAAGACCCTTTTGGTGAACTATTTTCAGAAATATACTTTAAAAGTTCCAGCGAGTTCACATTTTTGTGAAATATATCTGGGAAAATTCGAAATACCACTCAATCAACCAAGATGGCCGATGGAATTTGTGTGAAATTGCACATTTTCATCAGGCCAGTACCGAAAGAAGGGAACTTGCCTGGATTTCATACTCAAACAATTTGTAATTTACACTTTGATCATTCCTCTGACCTAAACGCCATCTTGAAGTAAATACGTTTTGTCTACTTCAGATCGTTTGAAAAATACAACTGTCGCAATTTAATTTACTTGTAAAATTTCAACTAGTTGTAGAGGGTCATAACTCTTCTAGTATACGAATCTCTCGACAAATAAGAGGTTCTAAAGAAAGAGCTATGCTATGGGCATACCATGTCTTAATGGCTAGTCTGGCCCGTAAAAATTAAGCGCTCTAGACGAAAAACTATAAAGGGTATTTTGACCATTTGCGCTATTTTTACACGACCGAGCGAGAACGTCATCTTTATGAACATAATTCGACATGTTTCATAAAAAAATTTTTCTTTGACATTGTGTATCACACATGTAAGCAATAATTTTTAACATCATACCTCAGAAATGGCCCTAAGTATATTTCTGAAAATAGTTCACCAAAAGGGTCTTTTTGACACAATAAAAGAAAATTCGAATTTTCTGACCTGTCGTCGGATTCTCCATATTTACAGGCAGTGGCTCTTTTAGAGTCATTCAGGGATACTGTCCACCTAATTTCAGACCATTAGCCCTAATATTGAAATTATTCATTTTATATCTTGTTTCTTTATTAATTTATTTCTTCATGTGCTGTAATTTGTCAGTCCCAACTTGTTTTAAACAATCAAAATCCCTTAATCCCTTAATCCCTTAAAATTTAAGATCAAATTGCTGGAAGTGGAGGAATGAAAACGGATTAATTTCTCTCTCCCTCATTAGTTTAGTGTTTCAAACTTTGGTGATCTGCACCTTGTCACAAATATGGACTGATTTTAGAGGCGTCCTCGAATGAACATGCTCAAATGAATATCTCGGTCGGTTAGACAAATTAAGTTCCTTTTCAGCTTCGTTTGTTGATTGTCCATTTCGAATCACGTGAAGCTCTCTGCAGGGCTATTCCTTTATCTGTCAAAAAACTACTGTGTTATTCGCGCGGAAAAAAATAAGGGAAAAAACCCTCCTAAGATCTGAAAAGCTAAGGGACATGAAAAACGAAGCTTAAGAGGACATTGTTAAGTTAACATTACTGATTTGCCCGCAGGCATATGGGGCAGCGCCTTTACCGTACTACTCCAGCGTGTACTTCGTGAGAGAAAACTTCCCAGTGATACAGTAGACGAGATGAGTAACGAAGGAGATCTGAGAGAAGAGCTACGTATGTCATTTAGGGTGCTTTCCATTATGCCAAATATTCCGGAGATTCCGGTGGGTAGTCAAATAAAAAGGTCCGTTTCGGTTTGGTCAGACCGGAATATACGGACCACCCGACCTCTGGAGGTGGTCCACTTCACCGGTTGGACCGAAATATTTGCCGGTCCATTTTGAAAAACCAGTTCATTGCCCTACATCTCCTCAGTAGATTTCAATTATGTAGGAAATTCGGGAAAGGAATAAAAAATGGTAAGAACTATTCCTGGTTGGCCCAGTTTGATCGAAAAGTGTCGTTCCAGTTTTCCTCGGGGAATCCACTGGTCTCTGACCGGTCGGTCTGGCAAAATGGAGAGCGGCACCCTTAAACTTCATTCTTTTAAGCTAAAAATTTGACATACAAACTATACGCCAAAGTGAATCTCGCGCAGAGCCCTCGTTTACCAGGTACATCCCCGCTGATTAGAAACTTAAGTCAAGCGTTTTACAACATTGGTGATGTGAGTTTTATATTTAAGGATGTATCTTGTAATCTTGTCATCAGGGAGAAACCGTGCGCAGTTTGAGGCAATGCAAATGTCTAACCCAATAACACAACAAAATGACTATGGCCAGCGTTTTAACGCCGACCACTCGACGCCAATCGACCACTGGAAGCCACTAGACCACTCGACGCCATTCGACCACTCGGAGTTGAACAATACGGTGTTTAGGCTACCACCCCTCTTACTGTTCTAATAGAAAATCATGCGTGGCAATTTACTCCTTAATGTTGGCGCGAAATTTCAGCGCTAATCGGTATAATTTCACGTGTGAAATTACAAAATTGCCATGATAACGTTTGGCGTGAAATTTCTCGGTTCAATAAACAACTCCAAAACCCACGATTGCAAACGTTATTTAACACACGATATTAAAAGGCAAGAAAATTGTATACTCTTGAAATTAAGAAATAATTTCACTTGCGTTTTGCCAAAATTCTAACAAGAATGTAGACCAAACGCGCGAGAAATTATTTCCTAGTTTCACTCATCACCAATTGATTTTCCAGAATACGTGCCTGTTTCTGAACTTGAATTTCAGGCCAAGTATTCATTACAGGCATGTCAATTCACCTTTTATCTCACTGTCTCATACAGGAGATGCAGTCGACGGGAAAGATAATGACGACGACGCTTAGGACAGTGACAGCGACAATGAAGATGACAATGATGTCACTGACGGTCCTAACAACAACAACAACGACAACAACAACAACGACGACAGCAACGATGAAACTAAAACAAAACACGATGACGATGATGATGGAGGTTTCTTTGGACGGTTCTTTGAAACTCTTGTGGATAAGCTTGCTGTGTTTAAGACTCGAGCTGGTCGAGCAGGCCTGGTACACAATTTTCTTCGCGGTCTGCAAGTAATGACGTCAGCACCATTGTTCTCAGGTTTGTTGTTGTCTATAGTTTTGTTCCTTTATTTCTCTACGAACGCATGACTTGTATGAGTGTATTTAAAATGGGCAGCCAGAGTAGAAGGGTGGAAAAACAGGTGGACTAAACTCAACGTAAAACTGACCTGCAAGTCGAGCTGCAACTGAGCCAAGCTTAGAGTGATAAAAATGTCTGCAACCCTCGAAACCTGAATACGAGGAAGAGGAGCGCAAGCTCGGCTTGTTTCGCTTGCAAGAGACTGTATCAAGTGACGTTGTTATGGGCCGTATTCTTGAACTCCTTCTAGACCCCCCGCCAACCACCCCCTGGGATTACTTAATAGTGCCGATGAGCGCTGATGTGGAATGCTGCTCGAATATTAATCTTCTTCAATGTATATCGCAGGCAAAGTTGATGAGGAAGTACAAACCGCTGACGAGTCTGCGCTCACATCCCGTCGTATCTACTTGGTTGACAGTGGGCTCGTGTTCAATTCCCCGTACCCTCCCCTGTTGAGACCTGAGAGGGATGTGGATGTGTTTCTCTCTTTTGACTTCAGTGTAAGGAAAAGAGATGTTGAATTTCCCTTCCAGGTAAACGACCTCAAAACGAGGTCGACCCACTGAAACGCCGTTTACTTCGGTGATTCTGTTTGTGTTGTTCAGTAAAATTAAGCCATAATATTTTTTTGTAACGAGCATTAATCGTATTGGTTGGCTGGATGTTTTGTGGCCTCAGTTTTACGACATCTATGCTTTAATTTCAGTGTTAGAAGAAAACCAAAACCAGCCACGAAAGTATGTTAGGGCTTCAGTCCTCGAAGGGATGGAATGCTAATTGTTGTATTATTTGTTAAGTTTTGTTACTTTCCAAAGGTTTATAATAATTAGGACAAGATTATTCTTCTATCATCAACGACAAAAATAAAGTTTTTGACCTTGTCCCGGGCATTGGCAGACATTTTTTTCAAAAAGATGAGTAATGCACGACCAATGCCCGGAGGGATGGGGGAGCGGGTGGGTGGGAATGAGCGTACTTTGAATTGACGGGGCCATAAGCAGGACTTCTCCACTGTTTTAGATTCTTCTTAGTTTGGCATTCTTCGCATCCGTTACTTGGGTTGTCACGCAACGATTATCCTTACATAAGGAGAGCGTTACTTGACGATCCCAATGGTTGCCTAGAGGCCATAATATCAAATATATTCGTTTTGTTTGTGTATCATATCAGGAACTCCTATTAGCAGAACAATGGGCGAGAAAGAACAAATTAAAATTTCCTCCGATTGAAGCAGAATTGCAGTACAAAAGGCACGGAATGAAAGAATTCTACGTGTTTCAAGATCCGCAAGATCCAACTTGTCCAGTAGTTATTCATTTTGTGCTGGCAAATAGAACTTTCAAGGAACAAATCAAACCAGGTATCGCGCCAACTTGTTTCTTTTTCGTTATTGTTGTTGTGTTTATATAAAGCTGGATTTATGAAAACTATGTTTATGCGAAAAGTGTGTTTCTTTGCATCAAATGAGCTACACACTTGATTTCAAGACTCCCAAGGACCTAAAAATCACTACACTCGGATGGATTCTCGGTTGTTCTGAGTTACTGCACGCTTTGTACATGTTGCAGTTAATTTTCACTGCTCAGTTATTTTTTATTTCTACTATAAGTAGTCCATTTTCTTCAAATATTTAGTTTTTTCTCTCAGTTTATCTCTAGTTAATGGTAATTATTGACTGGGGATAAACTGAAAATAAAGTTAACAACGCCCACGAAAGCGAACCACATATATTGAAATAAATAATAAAAAATAAGTAACATTTATCTAAACGATATAACACGGCAACAGGGCTACCTCTTGCGAGTTGAAATTTTCAACCATGGTATGTTTACTTGTAATATCTGGCGCGAAAACAGACTTTATTTACTTGTCAGAAGGACAGTTTTATTTGAAATATTTTAATAACTAACTCTATTCAATCCTAACAGGCATACTTCGAGAAATAACCGAAGAAAAGAACTATGCAGACTTTTCACTGTTCGAGGATCGCCACAACTG